GTAGCAGGGAAGACTGGAGTGGTAGCAGGGAAGACTGGAGTGGTAGCAGGGATGACTGGAGTGGTAGCAGGGAAGACTGGAGTGGTAGCAGGGAAGACTGGAGTGGTAGCAGGGAAGACTGGATGGTAGCAGGGAAGACTGGAGTGGTAGCAGGGGAAGACTGGAGTGGTAGCAGGGAGACTGGAGTGGTAGCAGGGAAGACTGGAGTGGTAGCAGGAAGACTGGGGAGTGGGTAGCAGGACAGGGGAGGCTGGAGTGGTAGCAGGGAAGACTGGAGTGGTAGCAGGGAAGACTGGAGTGGTAGCAGGGAATGACTGGAGTGGTAGGTAGCAGGGAAGACTGGAGTGGTACAGGGAAGACTGGAGTGGGGGTAGCAGGGATGACTGGAGTGGTAGCGGGAGACTGGACAGTGGTAGCAGGGATGACTGGAGTGGAGCAGGGAAGACTGGAGTGGAGCAGGGAATGACTGGAGTGGTAGCAGGGAAGACTGGAGTGGTAGCAGGGAAGACTGGAGTGGAGCAGGGAAGACTGGAGTGGAGCAGGGAAGACTGGAGTGGTAGCAGGGAGACTGGAGTGGAGCAGGGAAGACTGGAGTGGAGCAGGGATGACTGGAGTGGAGCAGGGATATGGAGTGGTAGCAGGGAAGACTGGAGTGGGAGCAGGGAAGACTGGAGTGGGAGCAGGGAAGACTGGAGTGGGAGCAGGGAAGACTGGAGTGGGAGCAGGGATGACTGGAGTGGGAGCAGGGAAGACTGGAGTGGGAGCAGGGAAGACTGGAGTGGGAGCAGGGAAGACTGGAGTGGGAGCAGGGAAGACTGGATGGAGCAGGATACTGAGTGGTAGCAGGGATGACTGGAGTGGGAGCAGGGAAGACTGGAGTGGGAGCAGGGAAGACTGGAGTGGAGCAGGGAAGACTGGAGTGGGAGCAGGGATGACATGAGCAGGGATGACTGGAGTGGAGCAGGGAAGACTGGAGTGGGAGCAGGGAAGACTGGAGTGGAGCAGGAATGGACTGGAGGGAGCGAGGGAAGACTGGAGTGGAGCAGGGATGACTGGAGTGGGAGCAGGGATGGACTGGAGTGTGGAGCAGGGAAGACTGGAGTGGGAGCAGGGAATGACTGGAGTGGGAGCAGGGATGACTGAGTGGTACGGGAGACTGGAGTGGGAAGGGATAGACTGAGTGGGAGCAGGGAAGACTGGAGTGGGAGCAGGGAAGACTGGAGTGGGAGCAGGGAAATGGATGGGAGCAGGGAAACTGGAGTGGGAGCAGGGAAGATGGAGTGGGAGCAGGGATGACTGGAAGTGGGAGCAGGGAAGACTGGAGTGGAGCAGGGACGACTGGAGTGGAGCAGGGAAGACTGGAGTGGGAGCAGGTGATGACGGTGGTAGCAGGGATGACTGGAGTGGGACTATGGGAAGGACTGGAGTGGGAGCAGGGAAACTGGATGGGAGCAGGATGACTGAGTGGGAGCCGGACTGGAGTGAGCAGTGTTGAGACTGAGTGGAGCAGGAAGACTGGGTGGGAGCAGGGAAGACTGGAGTGGGAGCAGGAAGACTGGAGTTGGAGCAGGGAAGACTGGAGTGGACAGGTGAAGACTGGAGTGGGAGCAGGGATGACTGGAGTGGGAGCAGGGAATGACTGGAGTGGCGAGCATGAGCGAACTGAGTGGGAGTCAGGGATGACTGGAGTGGGAGCATGGATGACTGGAGTGGGAGCAGGGAATACTGGAGTGGGAGCAGGGAAGACTGGAGTGGGAGCAGGGAAGACTGGAGTGGGAGCAGGATACTGGAGTGGGAGCAGGTATGACTGGAGTGGGAGCAGGGAAGACTGGAGTGGGAGCAGGAAGACTGGGTGGAGCATGGATGACTGGAGTGGGAGCAGGAAGACTGGAGTGGGAGCAGGAAGACTGGAGGGGAGCAGGGATGACTGGAGTGGGAGCAGGGATGACTGAGTGGGAGCAGGAAACTGGAGTGGAGCAGGAAGACTGGAGTGGTGCAGGAAGACTGGAGTGGGAGCAGGATACTGGAGTGGTAGCAGGGATACTGAGTGGTAGCAGGAAGACTGGAGTGGACAAGGGATGACTGGAGTGTGAGCAGGAGACTGGAGTTGGGACAGGGAAACTGGAGTGGGAGTCAGGAAAGACTGAGTTGGGAGGGAAGACTGGAGTGGACAGGGAAACTGGAGTGGTGAGCAGGGATGACTGGAGTGGGAGCGGATGACTGGAGTGGGAGCAGGGAAGACTGGAGTGGGAGCAGGGAAGACTGGAGTGGAGCAGGGATGACTGGAGTGGGAGCATGGATGACTGGAGTGGAGCAGGATAAACTGGAGTGGGAGCAGGGAAACTGGAGTGGACAGGGAAGACTGGATGGGAGCAGGAGACTGGATTGGTAGCAGGGATGACTGGATGGGAGCAGGGAAGACTGGAGTGTGGAGCAGGGAAGACTGGATGGGGAGAGGTGACTGTGAGTGGAGCAGGGAAGACTGGATGGGAGCAGGAGACTGGAGTGGGAGCATGGATGACTGGAGTGGAGCAGGGAGACTGGAGTGGACAGGGAAACTGGAGTGGGAGCAGGGAATGACTGGAGTTGGAGCAGGGAAGACTGGAGTGGGAGCAGGGAAGACTGGAGTGGTAGCAGGGATGACTGAGTGGAGCACGGAATGACTGGAGTGGGTGAGACAGGGAGACTGGATGGAGCAGGGATGACTGGAGTGGGAGCGGGATACTGGATGGGAGCAGGAACTGGAGTGGGAGCAGGGAAGACTGAGTGGGAGCAGGGATGTACTGAGTGGTACGGAAACTGGAGTGTAGCGGATCTGGTGGCAGGGAGACTGGAGTGGGAGCAGGGATACTGGAGTGAGAGGATGACTGGATGGTACACGGAACACTGGAGTGTAGCAGGAAACTGGAGTGGTAGCAGGGATACCTGGAGTGGGGACTGGAGTGGAGAGATGCGGATCGGAGCAGGGAACTGGAGTGTCGGGACATAGCAGGACACGTTGCAGGCTGGGTGGACTGAGACTGAGTGGAGCCTGGGATACTAGGAGTGGTAGGCACTGCCGAGACCTGGAGTTGAGCAGGGAAGACTGCGCTGGGACTTGGGTAAGACTGGGTGGTCGCACGGATGACTTAGGGTTTGATAGGGTGACTCCGTGGGACCTGGTAGTAGCTGAGTCGGCACTGAAGACTGGAGTGGGTAGTGCACGCTGACTGGAGTGTTAGCAGGGATGACTGATGGAGCAGGACTGGAGTGGGAGCGGGAGACTTGGAGTAGGGAGTCGGAAGACTGGTAGTGGGGCAGGGATAGACCTGGAGGGAGCGGAGACTGTGGCAGCGTGACGCATCCAGTGATTGGGTTTTACGTCAGACTACTCCGCTGACCTTGGGTTTAGTAGGTGGTCGGCACTCCGCTGACCTTGGGTTTTAGTAGGGTGGTCGGCACTCCGCTGACCTTGGGTTTAGTAGGGTGGTCGGCACTCCGCTGACCTTGGTTTAGTAGGGTGGTCGGCACTCCGCTGACCTTGGGTTTAGTAGGTGGTCGGCACTCCGCTGACCTTGGGTTTAGTAGGGTGGTCGGCACTCCGCTGACCTTGGGTTTAGTAGGGTGGTCGGCACTCCGCTGACCTTGGTTTAGTAGGGTGGTCGGCACTCCGCTGACCTTGGGTTTAGTAGGGTGGTCGGCACTCCGCTGACCTTGGGTTTAGTAGGGTGGTCGCACTCCGCTGACCTTGGGTTTAGTAGGTGTGGTCGGCACTCCGCTGACTGGGTTTAGTAGGGTGGTCGGCACTCCGCTGACCTTGGTTTAGTAGGGTGGTCGGCACTCCCGCTAACCTTGGCTTTAGTAGGGTGGTCGGCACTCCGCTGACCTTGGTTTAGTAGGGGTGGTCGGCACTCCGCTGACCTTGGGTTAGTAGGGTGGTCGGCACTCCCGCTGACCTTGGGGTTTAGTAGGGTGGTGGTCGGCACTTCCCGCTAACCTGGGTTTAGTAGGGTGGTCGGCACTCCGCTGACCTTGGGTTTAGTAGGGTGGTTCGGCCACTTCCGCTGACCTTGGGTTTAGTAGGGTGGTCGGCACTCCGCTGACCTTGGGTTTAGTAGGGTGGTCGGCACTCCGCTGACCTTGGTTAGTAGGGTGGTCGGCACTCCGTAACCTTGGGTTTAGTAGGGTGGTCGGCACTCCGCTGACCTTGGGTTTAGTAGGGTGGTCGGCACTCCGCTGACCTTGGGTTTAGTAGGGTGGTCGGCACTCCGCTGACCTTGGGTTTAGTAGGGTGGTCGGCACTCCGCTGACCTTGGGTTTAGTAGGGTGGTCGGCACTCTGCTGACCTTGGGTTTAGTAGGGTGGTCGGCACTCCGCTAACCTTGGCTTTAGTAGGGTGGTCGGCACGCTGCTCTCCCCAGTCTGTCTGTGGAGAGCGCTGCTCAAAGCACTGAGTGCAATTTGTCAGCTTTGCCATTTTAAACTCTCTGTAAAACTTAATACGGATCACGAAAGCACAATCTTTCTGGATTTTTAAAAAAAATGGTAATACTGTTTTTAAAAGTACATATCAACCACGATACTCTATTTTTACGTGTTCTGTTCTCTATCTCCCTTACGAACTTTTCTGAAAAAAATCACAATCTCAAGTAACTTTATGTGAAATAAATATTGATCCTCAAATTGAAAGCGATTGATCAGCTTTGAATCTATTTGTTTGTTTTTTTGTGAGAGAGAGTGTGAGTGGTAATGGGAGGTGCATCTCGTGTTGATAGCAAGCCCCAAGCCTGATGGAGAGGAGAGGTGTGAGTGGATTATGACACACAGATATATTTTATCTAATTAATTGGGGCAATTGTTATTTTTCAGATTTGTGAAGATTGGGTACGCACTTGCACAGCAGTCAACATGCCCCTTTCCGAAAGTGATCACCCCTCAATGAGGCAGTTTCTGAAGGAGAAAATCATCAATGGGAGGTGCCATCCCTGGATCCCACCAGCTATAGGAAAATAACTTGGGAGATGTTTTACCTGAAGGTGACGGAAGAACTCAAGCAACATCTTGCAGGGAAGCCAGTGGCGGCCATCTTTGATGAAACTCCAGATGTTGAAGGAAGATGTGTACAAAACATCCTCATCGCACCACTTGAACAGGAGAACATCCTTCTGAACAGGAGAACATCCTTCTGAACAGGAGAACATCCTCGGGGAGAACGTCCGGCCTACCTCGCAGAGAGACCGCGTTTCTGGAGCAGTGCAACCATTCACCAGTTTCCATGGCTGTGGTGAAAACGTCTACAAGACTACAATATCTCCAGTGATGACGTCATTGTCTTTGACACAGACAATGCTGCCGTACATGAAGAAAGCCTACAAAGCTGCACTTCAAGTCATTGTTCCCCAACTCCCTGCACATAACATGGATTGGCTCACATCGTGAATCTGATAGGGAGTGCTTTTCCCGCAAACCTTTTGATCAGCTGAACGCATTCATGCTACGTTTTTCCGCAGATGTTTTACCAGGCAGGGGCAGAAGATACCTTCCTCGCCACCGAACTGGCAGGACGGAAGAGAGCAACTGTGGCTCCCAATCCGCTGCAGCTCCTGATTCTAAGCAGTGCAGTACCACTCTGAGCAGTCGGGCCTCTACAAGGGGTTCGTAGAGATGGAAATACAGGTATGATTTTAAATCTACATGCATTCTACAATTGCTTAAGTCATTGTCATTTATATCATTGTAATTATGCAGAAAAAAAAGTATACGGCGGGGATGGCATTTCACAGTGAGTTTAAGTAATATTTTCCTCTTTTTTTTAATTTGTATTCCTTGTCATATACAGGTGTGTGGCTCGAAGTGCACCACAGTCTGGAGAGAAACTCTCCATGAGATGCTACGAGACCAAGAGCTGGTTCAGTCGCTGGAGATTCAGCTGAACCATCATGGCAAAAGTCATCCTGCAGCTTCTCGACATCTTCCAGAGCCTTGTGGCATCAAAGAGGACTTGCAGATGAACATTGCAGCCAACAAAGAACTCCGGTGTGAGGCTTGTTCACACTGCTTTGACGCAGTTGACGACTTGCCCTTTGCTGTGGAAAACAAAAACCTTGAGCACTGTTGAAGAGGCATACAGCAATGCAGGGGGAAAACTCCATGGTGTTTTGATCCACGTCACGTTGCGTTTATGGATGACAGCGTGTCCGGCTTCGAGGCTATTGGATGCCTACTTGACCAATGTAGGACCAGCAGCACTGAGAGCCGCAGTGAGTGGGGTGGTGGATTTGGATGTCTTCTGGGATGGACTTCAAGAGAAGACTTCCTGTGCTGAGCACCCTGGCCAAAACGCTACAAAGATGCAGTCTCAAACTCCGCTGATGCTGAGCGAAGCAACAGTATCTACAAGCTTGTGTTGTCCAGCGGTAGACGATCAACATCTAACGACAACCTACGAGCCTTGGTCTTCCTGTACCACAACCAACGACTCCGCAGTGGAGCTGATATGGAGGAGGATAGTGAGGATGATATGGAGGATTACATTTAGAAATAGGCTTAGATGAGCTAGGTCATTGGTCACCCCCCCCCCCCCCCCTCCCCCACCCCACCTCTCGTTACGTTCAGAAAAAGAGCTGTGTTTGTTCAAAAAATGAAACCGCCCAAAAGAGCACTTTGTCTCTAATTGTTTTTATGGAAGATGAACTTGAGATATAATATGTCTTAAATGCAGATTGGACCCCAGGTGTTTCTTTTGTCCTAGTTTAATCTTTTTTTAGTACCTACAGATTATGGGCGCATGCATTTTTTTTAAATGTTGGAACTCTGAGCTAGCTTCCACCCCTTTTTTTGTTCAGATAAAGAGCTGTTTGTTCAGGAAAATAAAAACAATTGAGCACTTTAAATGTTTCTAATTGTTTTTGTATTATGTATTCTGCTTACGATCGTCCTAAAACTGAGCACATACGACTTTTTATTGCTTTTATATGAAATTAACGTGAAAAATAATCACAGAATGTATACCAGAATTTCAGCAAAGCTGCTGCAAAATCAAAATAAGAGGGCGGCACACCTGTTAATTGAAAAGCATTCCAGGTGACTACCTCATGGAGCTGGTTGAGAGAATGCCAAGAGTGTGCAAAGCTGTCATCAAGGCAAAGGGTGGCTACTTTGAAGAATCTCAAATATTTGTTTAACACCTTTTTTGGTTACTACATGATTCCATGTGTGTTATTTCATAGTTTTGATGTCTTCACTATTATTCTACAATGTAGAAAATAGTAAAAAAATAAAAACCCTTGAATGAGTAGGCGTTCTAAAACTTTTGACCGGTAGTGTATGTAATGGGGAATTTATATATATATTTTTTTTAATCAAAGGGCAAACAATTCACACAATGAAACAATGAATGCGCAAGAATTGGCGGGAGACAGCTGAGCCATTCTGGAGAGAGACTCACAACTACGTCTTGGCCACACACCCCTCCCCTTCTTCTTGTCTCAACCATTTTTAAAATTATACTCAAGACACATTATCTTCACACACATTTGAGATGCTTTTCACTGACAGCTGCAACTCCAGTAATCAGCTAGACCTATCGCCACGCGCTGCTGCTGCCCAAGCTGCTGGCTTCCTCACAAGGGGGGGGGGGGGGGGGCCTACGACCTTGTGATTTGAAACGATCCACAGCTGTAGTTTGTTACATGTTTAGATTCCCCCTCTTTTTAAAGTTTCGAACAGAGTGTTGTTTAGAATGGTGTTTTCCCGCCAATTTTGCATTTTGGCAAGTGTTTTGAAAAATGACGTTTTAATTGGCTGCTTCATTACACGAGTTGCATGTTCTGTTGAGATGCATTACCATAATCTAAATGTTATTTCTGTCATTCTGAGCACCGTGGGTGGACGCCCTAAGGGGTTATGCAGCCAATCCATATGGGTCAGGTTCATTTCTCAAATGGCCGGTCAATTTAAAATCTTCCCGGTCACGTTGTCCGGCGTCAAGATTTTGCCAATGGAAACCTTGGCGTGTGTCTGTGCACGCTCCTCATTTCTCTGAGAGAGTGCAGAATGTTTGTCTATATTTACTCTGATAGCTAGATGATGCAAAATCACTTTGGGACGGGAAGAGACCCTATAATGACTAAACCCTACGTATACAGTACAACCACAAGCCCTGTCCCCGGAGGTTGGAAGTAGTGGATCCCTCCAGGGACTATCGGGGTCTCTAGCCCCCCAGTGGATGTTCTCTAACAACAAAGAAGGACCCTGTGTTCCTGGTTGGGATTTTTTATGAATGAATGTCAATCTACAGTTTTATCAACGTCAGACAAAAACATCCAAAAATGATGATGTGAAAAGAGGTTGGAATTTGTGTATGTTCTATTAGAGGGTTAGAATCGTGTCAGAACACAGACAGATGGAGAGATGTGAATGAAACACACAGGTGCACCCCCCCCCCCCCCCCCCCCCTCCCCCGGTGGAGGACAGTCAGCGGTGGTGCTGTTGATTCCCAGCTCAGCATATCGCCCTATCCGCTCCCCCCCCCCGCCACCCTCCTTAGAGCTTATGTAAATGAGTTGGGGGGCCAGGGCAAAGCTGAGGCTATTTATAGTAACAGGAGCAGCAGCACTGCAGAGAAGAGAGAGCAGAAGCATGGCTGGCTGGCGGATTGAGAGGGAGGGAGGGGGGGAGGGGGAGGAAGGGGGGTAGGGAGGGAGAGGGGGAGAGGTAGAGGGGAGAGGGAGCGAGAGACGGGGAGAGGGAGCGTGAGACGGAGGGGAGAAGGAGCGAGAGACGGGGAGAGGGAACGAGAGACGGGGAGAGGGAGCGAGAGACGGAGGGGGAGAGGGAGCGAGAGACGGAGGGGTAGAGGGAGCGAGAGACGGGGAGAGGGAGCGAGAGACTGGAGAGGGAGCGAGAGACGGGGAGAGGGAGCGGGAACCGGGGAGAGGGAGCGAGAGACTGGGAGGAGAGAGAGAAGGGAGAGGGGGCGAGAGAACGGGGAGAGGGAGCGAGAGACGGGGAGAGGAGCGAGAGACGGGGAGAGGGAGCGAGAGTACGGAGGATGGAGCGGAGACTGAGGGAGAGGGAGCGAGAACGGGAGAGGGAGGTAGAGACGGGGAGAGGGAGCGGGAACCGGGGGAGGGAGTCGGGAACCGGGAGAGGGAGCGAGAGACGGGGAGAGGGAGCGAGAGACGGGGAGAGGGAGCGAGAGACGGGGAGAGGGAGCGAGAGACGGGGAGAGGGAGCGAGAGACGGGGAGGGAGCGAGAGACGGAGGGGAAGGGAGCGGAGATGGGGAGAGGAGCGGAGACGGGGAGAGGGAGCGAGACGGAGGGGAGAGGGAGCGAGAGACGGAGGGGGAGAGGGAGCGAGAGACGGAGGGGAGAGGGAGCGAGAGACGGAGGGGAGAGGGAGCGAGAGACGGAGGGGAGAGGGAGCGAGAGACGGGGAGAGGGAGCGTGAGACGGGGGAATGAGCGAGAGACGGAGGGAGAATAGCGAGAGACGGGGAGAGGAGCGTGAGACTGGGAGGACCGGGAGAGGATCGGGAACCGGGGAGAGGGATCGGAACCGGGGAGAGGGAGCGAGAGACGGTATAGGGTGCGAGAGACGGGGAGAGGAGACGGATAGACTGGAGAGGGAGCGAGAGACGGGAGAGGAGCGAGAGACGGGAGAGGGAGCGGAGACGAGGGGAGAAGGAGCGAGAGACGGAGGGGAGAGAGCGAGAGACGGGGAGAGGGAGCGAGAGACGGGGAGAGGGAGCGAGAGACGGGGAGAGGGAGCGAGAGACGGGGAGAGGGAGCGAGAGACGGGGAGAGGGAGCGAGAGACGGGGAGAGGGAGCGTGAGACGGAGGGGAGAAGGAGCGAGAGACGGGGAGAGAGTGCGGGAGACGGGGAGAGGGAGGGAGTTATTCTGTCTCTTACTGTTCAAATAAACCTACCATTAAAATTATAGACTGATCATGTCTTTGTCAGTGGGCAAACGTACAAAATCAGCAGGGGATCAAATACTTTTTTCCCTCACTGTATATATATATTTTTCACCTTTATTTAATCAGGTAAGCCAGTTGAGAACAAGTTCTCATTTACAACTGCGACCTGGCCAAGATAAAGCAAAGCAGTGTGATAAAAACAACAACACAGAGTTACATATGGAATAAACAAAACGTACAGTCAATAACACAATAGAAAATCTATATACAGTGTGTGCAAATGTATTAAGTTATGGAGGTAAGGCAATAAATAGGCCATAGTGCAAAATAATTACAATTTAGTATTAACACTGGAGTGATAGATGTGCAGAAGATGATGTGCAAATAGAGATTCTGGGGTGCAAATGAGCAAAATAAATAACAATGTAAATAACAATATGGGGATGAGGTAGTTGGGTGGGCTAATTACAGATGGGCTGTGCAGGTGCAGTGATCGGTAAGGTGCTCTGACAACTGATGCTTAAAGTTAGTGAGGGAGATAAGAGTCTCCAGCTTCAGAGATTTTTGCAGTTCGTTCCAGTCATTTGCAGCAGAGAACTGGAAGGAATGGCGGCCAAAGGAGGTGTTGGCTTTGGGGATGACCAGTGAGATATACTTGCTGGAGCGCAGACTACGGGTGGGTGTTGCTATGGTGACCAATGAGCTAAGATAAGGCGGGGATTTGCCTAGCAGAGATTTATAGATGACCTGGAGCCAGTGGGTTTGGCGATGAATATGTAGTGAGGACCAGCCAACGAGAGCGTACAGGTCACAATGGTGGGTAGTATATGGGGCTTTGGAGACAAAACGGATGGCACTGTGATAGACTACATCCAATTTGCTGAGTAGAGTGTTGGAAGCTATTTTGTAAATGACATCGCCAAAGTCAGTTTTACGAGGGCATGTTTGGCAGCATGAGTGAAGGAGGCTTTGTTGTGAAATAGGAAGCCGATTCTAGATTTAACTTTGGATTGGAGATGCTTAATGTGAGTCTGGAAGGAGAGTTTACAGTCTAACCAGACACCTAGGTATTTGTAGTTGTCCACATATTCTAAGTCAGACCCGCCGAGAGT